ACTCGGAGCAGCACTCGGCGGCGCCGACGGCGCCGCGCTCGGAGCGGCGCTCGGCGACGACGACGGCGCCGCGCTCGGCGACGACGACGGCGCCGCACTCGGAGCAGCACTAGGCAGCGCCGACGGCGCCGCGCTCGGAGCGGCGCTCGGACGCGAGGACGGCGCCGCGCTCGGCGCGGCCGTCGTCGGCGCCATCGTCGGCGCGGGCGTGTAGGACACCTGGAAATCGATGGAATCGGTCACGGTGGCGTCGTCGTCGCACGCGAGCGTCAGCGTGTACTCGTTGACCTCCGCGTCGCCCGGGACCACCTGCACGTCCTCGCCGTCGTTGTCCAGCGAGTCCGAGGCGACGACGTTGCCCTCGAGGTCGGCGACGACGGCGGACACGGTCGCGCACGCGCCCGGGTCGCCGCGATACGTCCAGAGGAGGTCGCACTCGACGAGCGAGACGCACGTCGACTCCGTGCCGATGCTCGCGATCTCGACGAAGGACGCCGTCGGCAGGGGCGACGGCCCGGCGCTCGGCGACGCGCTCGGCGACGGCGACGGCGCGGCGGACGGCGACGACGAGGGGTTGGACGTGGGAGCCGCGCTCGGCGACGGCGACGAGGGGTTGGACGTGGGAGCCGCGCTCGGCGACGGCGAAGGCGCGGCGGACGGCGCCGAGCTCGGGGACGAGGAGGGCGCCGCGCTCGGAGAAGGCGACGGCGCGGCGGACGGCGCCGAGCTCGGGGACGAGGAGGGCGCCGCGCTCGGAGAGGGCGACGGCGCGGCGGACGGCGCCGAGCTCGGGGACGAGGAGGGCGCCGCGCTTGGAGAGGGCGACGGCGCGGCGGACGGCGTCGAGCTCGGGGACGAGGAGGGCGCCGCGCTCGGAGAGGGCGACGGCGCGGTGGACGGCGCCGCGCTTGGAGAGGGCGACGGCGCGGCGGACGGCGCCGAGCTCGGGGAGGAGCTCGGGAGAGAGGACGGAGTCGCGGACGGCGTCGCTGAGGGTATCGCGGTCGGCGTGACCGTCGGCGCGACCGTGACGGCGTCGTAGAGGGCCTGGATCGACGCCGCGTCGAGCGCGCTCGCGTAGACGTAGAACTCGTCGATGGAGCCGTCGAGGTAGTAATTACTGTTCCACTGCCCGAGGCGGAGCGCGTTGTCCGAGCCCGTGTCCAACGCTTCGGTCCCCGTCGCCGCCTGCGTCCCGTCGAAGTAGAGGGCCCAGTCCGATCCGTCGTAGGTCAGGCAGTAGTGATGCCAGTCGCCGTCGTCGGACCCCGACAGCGCGACGTCCGTGTCGGCGCCCCAGAGCTGGACTCTGAGGCTGCCGT